AGGTAACTACTGCATATCTGAAAAAAAAAAATCAACTTTTTATTGTAGCCAAATGGGATGCTAATATTTCTTAACTGGCTAAACCAAGTTCCTAACACAGTATATGTCTCTGAACTAAAGAGGTATACAAGGTTGCATATGAAGGCACATTATTTAGAGTAAAAGGAATATTTGTGTGGAAAACAGAAACTAAAAACAGAATCTTATGAATACGAACTACGGGCATAGTTCTAGAAGAACTGAGCTGGAGAGGAAAAATAAAATTCAACCAGTTTAATTATGTACATAAAAAGACGGAAATCTGTTGCAATTTCATATCTTTGTCCTATTTGGTATTTTTTGTTGATTTAGCAATACAGTTTATATATCTAAACAGCTAATACTATTTATTCAATTATTTTCAGCTTTGAACAAGAGCTATCATTCCTGATATAGCCACTTACGTTGAGAATCAGAGTTTTGAAGTCACTGGTAGACCCATTAATTTTACCAAGTTCTGGCATTTTCAGAAAAGGAACTTAGTTATGGCAAATCTTAAAAGATTATTAAATGACTTTGGCTGCTAGTTATACGCCCACTAGCCATAAAAATAAAATAAAGCCTAAAATAAGGGAGGAGGCCAGGTGGCACCAGTAAGTGGGATCAGACCACAAGCAGCAGCTCAACCCAGGAAGCCTCTTTGTCCTTATAGACCTGATATTACAATCCCTCCTTTATCCTCAAAATGCTGGGCAGGCAGGGGCTCAAGCAAAGGGGGTCCTTTCACAAGCAACTGGCCTCGGAAGCCTGTCTACTCCCAGAGGCTGAAGATTCCCTTTTCTCCACACCTATAGGCATCAATCAACCTAGTCTGTGAACTCTTCCCACTCCCTGAGGCAGAAGCAGTTGCAGATCAATGGAGTTTCTATGGCATCAGATATTAAAAAATTTAAATGTAATAGGATCTAACAGCTCATAACATAACCGCCAAAATATTCAGGATTCAAGAGAAGATCACCCACCATATCAAAAACCAAAAAAAATCATGAATGAGCCAGGCTCGGTGGCTCAGCCTGTAATCCCGCGCCTTTGGGAGGCTGAGGTGAGTGGATTGCCTGAGCCTGCGGGTTCGAGATCCGCCTGGGCGGCGAGACCTCATCTCTACAATAAATCAAAAAATCAGCTGGGCGTGGTAGCGCATGCCTGTAATTTCGGCTACTCGGAAGGCTGAGGTGGAAGGATCGCCGGAGCCCAGCAGGTCGAGGCTGCGGTGGCCGGGAGCGGCCACTGCACTCCAGTCTGGGTGACAGAGTGAGACTCCAACTCAAAAAAGAAAAAAAATCATTAATGAGAAAAGACAAGTAACTGATGCCAACATAGACAGATGCTAAAACTGTAAGACAAGGAAATTTAAAACAGCTGTCATAAAAATTCTATTGAAACAAATAAAAATATAGAAAATATCAGCAAAGAAATCAAAATTATAAAAAAAATAGAATACAAATTACAGAAGTAAAAAATGCATATGAAATTTTAAAACTTGCCAAATGGGTAGAGATGACAGGATAGAATCAGTGACCTTAAGGATAAAGCAGTAACGTTTACCCAATGTGAACACACACACACACACACACACACACACACACACACACACACACACACACTTAACAGAATCTCAGGGGGTTGTGGGATAATAGCAAAGATTCAACATTCATATCATCAGCATTCCAGAGGAAAGGAGAAACAATAGGGTAGAAAGAGTATTCAAAGAATTAACAGCTGAAAACTTTTCTTACTTGGTTAAAGAAGCAAACCTACACATTCAAGAAACTGAGTGAACCTGAACAGCATAAATCAAAATAATTCTACACCAGGATACATCATAATTAAACTTCTGAAAACTAAATCCAAAGAAAAAGTCCTGAAAGAAAAGAGAAACAACACAATACTATGGGGGAACACCAATTCAAATGACAGCAGATTAAAACCATAGAGGCCAGAAGGAAGTACAATGACTTTTCACAAGTGCTAAATGAAAAGAACTATCAATGACAAAATCTGTATCTGGTGAACCAGTCTCAGATAAATTAAAAGAAACTGTCACTAGTAGACCTACTCTTTTTTTTTTTTTGAGTTGGAGTCTCACTCTGTCACCCAGACTGGAGTGCAGTGGCCACTCCCGGCCACCGCAGCCTTGACCTGCAGGGCTCTAGCGATCCTTCCACCTCAGCCTTCCAAGTAGCTGGAATTACAGGCATGCGCTACCATGCCCGGCTGATTTTTTGATTTATTGTAGAGATGAGGTCTCGCCTGCCCAGGCAGGTCTCGAACCCGCGGGCTCAGGCAATCCACTCACCTCAGCCTCCCAAAGGCACGGGATTACAGGCTGAGCCACCGAGCCCGGCTGTAAGATCTCTTTCCTACAAAAAATTATCTAGGTTTGGTGGTGCCTGACTGTAGTACTGAGGAGGCTGAGGTGGGAGAATTGCTTGATCCCAGAAGGCTGAGGCTACAGTGAGCCATGATCAAGACATAGTACTCCAGCACGGATGATAGAGCAAGATCATCTAGTCTCAACAAAGGAAAAAATGGAAGGAAGGAGGGAAAGAAGGGAAAGGGTGGGGGGGGAGGGTGAGGAAACAGAAAACAAACAATACAATGGTAGACTTAAACTCACATAATAATCACCTTAATTGAAAATGATGTAAATACACAAGTAAGAATTGGCACAGGGG